CAACAAATCGCGACTTCTAATAGCCTGATGGCCATGAATGGCACCACCACTCGGCTCGGCGAGCTGATAGGATCTGAAGGATGCCGAATAACTCGATTCTGAACCGGTCCACTTCATGTTGAAAAAATCTAGAAACCAGCCGAAAAGCATTAAAAAGCTATTCTATTGCTATTCTAAAAAAGCTACTCTCCACACAAATGGTTGGCTAATTCTGAGACCATGAATGGTCTCAAAAAAAGGGCAAAATAATACCGGTTTCGTTTCGACCGTTGGCTCTAAACGGAAATCGCTGCATTAGCTAGTTGGTAGACGCTTTAGGATTTCCCTCAACGACCTTTCGAACGCGGACGATATTGATTTCGCACCTGCGGTTTTCGTCTAAAGTGCGAGAAAGACAGCGGCCAAGGAACGTCAGCACAAAAAACGCAAAATTGCGCCCTCTCGCCTCATGCCTTTCAACAATCATTGAATGGCACAATCAATGCGTTGGATAAACGGCGCATCAGGCTTCACATTGAAACACCAGGCAATCCGGATAGGACGTACTCTGTTTCGGATCACTCTAGATGGGATACAATTAGTCCAACTCGGTATGGAAAGCTTGCTTTGCAGAAGTAGGATACGACTTAGGGTCTTGCAGGTGATAAGCACTTTTCGCTACCTCGTCATTTTAACCCTTCCCATCCTACTAGTGCTTCTTATCTGGTGAAGCACAAAGAACATTTATGCGATGAACAAACGAGCTAGTAATTTAATATGGCAGGAAATGGCAAAACTCAGAAGTTATGACTACATAAGGAAACTGAGTTTGAACGATTTCCTATCAGGAAAGGACGCTTACTCGAAGTGGCCTTATGCGATGGAACCTAATTCCTTTGGGTGTGTTTTTGAACGATGATCTCTAATCTACGGCGGAGTGGTGTAGTGGCAAGTGCACTGCTTACACGGCGAGGGATCAAATCCTGGGTCGTGAGTCGCCCGGGCCAACCAAGCCTTCCATCCCTCCGGGGTCGGTTAATTGGTACCAGACTTGTCTGGGAGGATAAAAACACTGACTTGTACATCGGCTGGCCCCGCAAGTCATTGTATAGGCCACATCGCATTCAAACGCCACTACGAATGTACAAATGGAAGTAGAATGCGTGCCGCATCCCAAAAAGGGATTGATCAACGGCAAATGCTTTATCCTTTTATCTTTCCTTTATTCTCGATCGGACCTTCAAATCGGTCAATAGATTCCGAGTTAGATCTTCTGGAGTCGGAGTTATTGGAGCACAAATTGACTCCCTGACGAATGGTTTGGCTATAAATTTGCCCCTAGAGAACCTTTTATCTCTGGAACTTCAACATCCACACCTGTTTGCTGCAAAGACATCTGCCAAGAGTTCTGCGAGCTCCATGTGCAATCATTCGCTAGTAGCGCTCACCTTGTCAGGAACTCCTCGCAAACTACAGATACATGTCAATATTGAGTTTAGTAGCGCTAGTCTTTTCAGATGGCTTGCCGTGAAGCGAAAGGAAAATCTCATCGGAGTCGATCTGTGACCACTTCATCCGAGCTCGGACACTACCGCTGCTAGTCCGCCTCATAACTGCTTTCAGAAGATTGAATGCCAGATTTGGAAAGCAGATCCGAGGTCAGCGTCCAAAAACATCCAGCAGCGTGGGTCTCACTGTATATGGCCACTTCGGCCCATCATCCTTTCCTGGTTAGTGTTGTTGTTAAATCCTGTTCAATGTTTGAAGCACTTACTGGACTGGGATATTATTCCGTCTTACCTTCATCGTGCCCGATCTACGGAACGAAAGAAGAGTAAAGGATAATGCACACGCTCATCAATCCTTGGTGACTTGCGCCACGCATTTTGCTTCTATTCAGAATCGTAGTGGCGTTTCGAACACGATTCGCCCTACACACAGTGGCTTGTAGGGCAAGCCGATTATTGTTCAGTCAGCGTTTTGACCTCACCAGACAAATGCGAAGTGCGTCATCATGCGACTTCGAAGGATGAAAGCTTAGGGTTGCACCCTGAAGTGTTACGACCCCAAGGCATGTATTCGGCGGACACTGACGCGGTAAAGCAGCGCACTAGCTACTACACCATTTCTGCTCTTGTACGGATGGAACCAATGATAGTACATTACATATCTGATATACCGTTCCCCATGTATCACAATAAGCTATAAGCACCGACCAGAGTGAGCCATACACTGCTCTAGAATGCTAACTAGAATCCAATCTATGTGGAGTTCTTCTCAGGCCCAAAGAAAGTCTTGAAACACTTCAACACCATGTTGCACCCTGAAAAACATTGCCGAAGGATATTTGGAGTGGTTAAGACGGCTATTCATCACATCCTTCTATTTGCTTTTATGCATTAGAAGCATCGGCAAACATCTCACGGTCGACCACGACAAAACAAACGGCCGTCTTATTGTTTTAGCGGAATGAACCTAAGTCTGCCGCACAATTCAGAGACCAGGAAAAGACACTTGCTTGATTACAGGCGGCTTCACTATCAATCATGTCTCACACGCGCAGAACTGGGACGTTGCAGATGACGCCGCAAGGATCTTTTCAAACATAAAAGCTCATAACATTTATAAAGGAGGAGGAATTTAAAATGTTCCTCGCGTCTGGATAAGGCGAGATCTTACGACGAAGTGTCTGTGGCCGAATTACGAACGGTGAATATAGAAACGCGTCCTTCGGGACGGCACCGCCACGCGGGCGAATAGTTGCGCACTCAATATCTTTAATCCCATAATCCACCTCATTTCTTCACGTGCGTCTTTCGGCCTTCCGGCGTGACACGCCTCTTTCCGAGCGAGTGACAAAAAAAACTACTCAAGCTCGCGTGTCTGCTAGCAAACATTTATTGCACCTACTGGCTTATTTCGATGTGATTTTAATGCTCCGTGGAGACGTCATATTCCAAGAAAAGAATTAGCGTATTTGGACGAGTAATAGCTCTCGGGCGCATATAAGCCTGCAGGAAACCAGTATTTGTTGGTACGTATTTTTCACCAAAAGTGATAACATTGAAAGGAAGGACTTGTGAGCAGAGTTAGGACCGTATCGCTCTAACAGCTGTATGAGAGCTACTGCAATAATTTTTGTCACTCCATATTCGTTCGAAGTCAACGAGACATGTTCATTTGCTGTCGCAGGCTGCTGCAATCGAGGTGGAAGAGTGGTATATTCCATGAAGAGGCGCGTGGCTGGTGCTGCCGGAGGGGGGGGGAGGGGTAGGATTTTGTTTTTCAAAGAATATACGGTATGTACGGTGAAGATTGTGGAAAGGATTTGTGGTTGAAGCCATGCAAGTCATCTAGTCTAACAATTCAAGTTCTCTATTTTCCCTAGGAAGAATTTTACACAGAATTGTAGAAAAACTACCTGTTATTTCCTTTGTGTACTTGGCAGTTTTTTCTGAGTGTGTGTTTCGATTTGTGGTGGCTCACCGAGGTCTTTTTCTGGCACTCGAGCAACAATGGAATATTTTCACAAAACTATGAGTGTATTCAGAAAAATTAACCTGAGCTTGCCTGTAACCTAGGATGATTTGTATTAAGGCATGCAGAGATGGTGGTGAGGTTCCATGGGCTTGTTCCGGGGAAGGGGGAACTATGTCTGGATGATGTTGCAAGGTAGGTGAGATATGAGGTCATACTAATTCGCTCCTCTCCCTCGCAAGCTTCGTTACCCTCTTTCCCCTCACAAAGCGCTTAGAAAAGTCTGCGGCGAATACTGAAAATGCTTCAGTGGTCTGTCAATATAGTATCGTAATAGAGCCTGTTCCTTGGTTTTGTGACGCAGCTTTTATCTTGCCCCCTGGAATCTTAATTACGGATTTCCTTTACATCAGAAAGTATGAATATGCTCTCTTGAGGGTGTGAAAGGTGTGCTCATTGCTGAAAACCATAGAGCGTTAAGGAGTGGGTTTGACCATGATACTATTATAATACACGATGAAACCGGTTCTAAGCTCAGTGTAGAAACGTTTAATGAAAATAATAATTCAACTCGCGCGATTTCGAAGTATGGGCTGTTATTGGAGACCGGATTCTTCAGCCGATTAGGGAGGATGGAGTGAAAATTTTCGCGTCCGTGCATTTAATTGGCGTGAACTGGGAACTCAAAAAACATATAGGTGACAAAAATCAGATCAATGAAATATGAAGGCGACACAAGTTTAAAGTAGCGCACTAAGGGAACTCACGAAACCCAACTACAATTTCTATACGAGACAAATATAATTCGAAGACATCTCTTAAGTGATCTTTTTTAAGTGCATGGCTTCTCCTTTCACTGGTCGTATAATGACATCAATGAATATGGAATTGTTTTCTACATTGGAAAGTAACCGGTCCAACCTCGCAAATGGCTAGGCATTCTCAATGGATTATTTATATCTCGTTCCGTGAGATGTGACGGATGAAGTGTGATTTTTTCTCAAATTTGTTGGAACGAAAAAATGAGAAGAAATCAATCGGCCCAGAAGAAGAATGGGGCTGCAGAAGCAGCGAAGACGGTAGAGGAGTGCGTATAGTTTTCAATTGAGAAATGGGGGGGGGGAGAAGCAGACGAGGGCGCGAAGGAAGTTACAAGCGTCCCTCCCGCTCTTACCTCTCCCCACCTCCCCAGGCGCTTAGCCAACCAAGTTTGCCAATACATGAAAATGCTGCTAGTGCTTCAAGGGTCTTGACGAGGGTCTGCACGTTTACCCTCGCATTACTAGAATAAGATCGAGGAAGGCTTCAATTGAGCTGAACATCAGATAGAAACGTTAAGGCAGACACATAGGGATAAAGTGAGCCCTCTCAATCGAGTACTATTGGGCCTGTGTTTTGTCAACAGCCAAGAAGGACGAGGGAAATCGCATAGGGTCGTGAAATGAGCGTGGACATGACCAAAATGCAATTACGGTGACGAACATCAGACAAGAATATGAGCGCGACACAAAGAAAGACCCTTAAAAACTCCACGCCCCACTAACTTTTCGAACGAGCCATTGGCATCTAGCTGATCCTTTTGATTGCATTCATTCTCCTTCACTGGTCTACTAATGACATGAAATGAATATGGAATTGTTTCTGCATTGAGAAAGTAACCGTTCCAACCCTCAAAATCGAGGCACTTGGAAATATCGTCGAGATTGAATGAACGTGATTTCAAATTTGTGGAACGAAAAAATGAGAATGAAATCAATGGCCCGAAGAAGTAATGGCTGCAGAAGCAGCGGAAGTGCTGCGACGTGCGAAATTGCGTTTGTCTGAAAGTACGAAGAGATTCCAAAAATGGAAAAAGGGCAGCGATGAAAAACCCCGTGCCCTAAAACGGAAACGAATGCTTCCTGCTCAACAGCGTTTCTATTTTAAACTCTTATCGAAGGCAAAGTAGACAAAAAACCACTCCGCAGTAGTAAGTGGAGGGTCACTTATACAGAAAGAGACCTTTTCGCGAAGTGGGAAAAGTCGCTTTCTGTCCCGCGGCAGTCTCCTCAGTAGGAGACGTTGTGTCCTATAAGTCGAGAAGGAGGAATGAAATCGGAGAGTCATTAGCTAATCCCGATCCCGTAGCGCCACGTGGAGTCGTCTCATGGAATCCCATATTAGTCCATCCCACAGGAAAGTAATTTTCTCTCGAATCTATGGGTACTTTCCGGAGCACCGTGCCCATTTGACTACAAACCAATAATTGAGATTTAAAGGGCCAGGTTTCATGGATGGTTCAGTTGAGCAAGGGAAATACTGTAGAGATTTGGTTTACCTTTTAGGGGATGTACGGTACCAGAGCAACCCAGAGTTGCTTCAGCGTCTTCCCATTTCTACTTATAAGATCAAAAAAAAACTTGATACAGAGGTTAAGTAGAAAACTGGAAATGATTTGTTTGTTTAGTGGATTTTGGCCACTTTATTCCTGATATCCATGCGATTTTTGGGAAATAATTGGCATAACTTTGTCATTATTTCTATCAATACTGCCTCAATATTTAAATGCACCAGTTGTGGATAAGCAACATTACTGATCGTTATGAATAAAGAAACCCTTTTCGAGTCAACGAAGCCCCTCCAGCCACACAAAAAGGCGGAAAGTTTATAGAACAAGATATATTCGTTAGAAGAGTAGTGAGACTGTGGTTTTATCATCGTACTGAGACGGAGCTGCAAAGGAGAAGAATAACAATTTAGAACAGTGAAAGGTATACTGCAAAGAGCGAAGCAACTGCATGGTCCGAAATAGTACAGCTCTTCTACGAACGACCACCTGGTAAAAAATTGTGTAAATGGCCCTCACTAGCAAGCTGCTCATAAATCTAGTGCTAAGAAAAACTGTCATATTCTTAAGCCATTAAATAGTAGGCTTTATGGTTTCAGATTACTGATACCTGATTACATAGTGAAGAAGCTAAATATTGTATAACACAAAGAGGCACCAAAATTTTATTTCAAAAGAATTCCAAAAGTTTTGGAATTCTTTTGAAATAAAATTTTGGTGCCTCTCTGTGTTATACAATATTTAGGTGCTGATGAGGCTCCGGGACAGCACAATATTGAGAGTGAAGAAGCTGTTACTTGCTAATAAAGAAGAAAATTCCGATTGCGAACAAAGAAATGATTTGCTTTTTATTATAAATTTCTAGTAGGCTTGTCATTTTCCTATACATTTTTTTCTATGTACCTGTTCCATCCCCTTGGAGTAGCACCATTTCAAACCCAAACATGCGACAGGAGCCCTAACTAGATCTCCCTCTTGCGCATTTTCTTGCAATCCCACTTAAAGGAACGGCTTAAACGACATCCTTCTGCAGCGAATATTTCATCACTCTGTCTCTCACTCTTTTCCGCGCCGAGTATGCAAAAAAGTAATTTGAATTAAACTGCCCCCGCCGGGCGCAATCAATCTGTCGGCATTACAAAGCTGTGTAGCACCAAGGCAAGAGCGGAAAAAAACACCGGTCGTCAGAGTGGTAGTCGAGGCAGCGGCTTAACGGCGCTCGACGACCAGCAGCTCAAAGTGTCAGCCGACCTTTTCGAACTACTCAATCAGGCCAAAAGACTTCCTTTTCCTCTCGAAGTTTACTCTGCCGCCGGCAACACAGAGGGGATGTCCATTCACACACGAGGGTTTATCGATCCTCATAAAAAACACCAAACGGCGCATCGTATAAGAGGCCGACGAAGAGTACGCGTCTGGTTGTCGCCGAGAAAACACGAAATAGCCAGGTCAATGGCGGCTCCATTAATCCTACACTTACGCATAGGTCACCATGGCGGCAAGCTTTCGTGGATGAACCATCTAGCACTGGTTCTGCGCGTACACTATAGCCCACGACTAAATCCGTTATAAGAAAGAAATAGAATCGCCAATGGAGAGGACTAATCTTTACACTACATAGAGAAGCTAAAAAGAGCGACAGGCTTCAACGGCTAGACTCACGGCTTGCTCCAGTGAAAAATTCCCTGGAGGCGGACACATTTCATGAATGGCAAGCGTTTAGAAGCCAATTACACAAGTTCGCCTGCCACGCACTGGCAATAGTGTTCAGTTTTCTTTCAAAGCCAATGAACTCTAAATCCGGGGGACAGACTTCACAGTCAAAAAAAAGCGCCAGCAGCGAAATTGACTCAAATGCTTGCCACAACGACTGTTTTCACCAAATTCGCTACAAATTTGAGTACTGGGGTTATTTGGCGTCCTGATTACGAATATAACGTTTACGTTGGCGCTGGCTCCATTTCGCGCCTACTTTCTGGCTGTCTGCATTCCTCACTAATTAGATAGCGACCAGACTAATTGTAAGCCGGGAGCAGGGCTCCAAGGTGGGTAAGCCACTCTTTGATCTCACACACTCCAACTGTTGCCAAACGGTGCATGGTTTACCGGGTGTGGTTCACTAGGACAGAATGCGACTTTTTCGCGTTTTGCGCGCGAAACATTTTTCGCTGCGGAACCTCAGGTCCACTCATGATCAGCGGTGGACCTGAGGTTCCCGCAGCGAAAAATGTTTCGCGCTGCGAAACGCGAAAAAGTCGCTTTCTGTTCCGGTGAACCACATCCTGGCTCACTCACCCCAGAGGCCCCCCTCTCCCTAATATGAGCATAGCCTTTGACCTTGTCAAATACACCCTATACAGAGAAATAAGTGAGAGCCCAGGAGAGCGGAAACTAAACATTGCAAACAAAACAACAAACGACAACAAAACAACAAACGTTAAACAATGCTAGCTGTCAAAAGCCAATGATATACTCGTAACCAGGAACCAAATACTCCCTAAAAGTAGAGGCGAATTTGGTGACAACAACCGTCGTGACAAAGTGGCGCCAAATGGCCAGTAATGAAGACCCACTTGTAGATAGTTGTTTGAAGGAACGGTGCATTTACACTGGAACCTAAAAATCTACACACTGCGGGCTCCTGGGTATTTTTAACTTGCGGCTAGTCTTACTCATCACTTTTTGACCACAATTGCGCAAAACACACACTCGACAACTGACACATGCAGCAACATAGCATGAATAGAAAAGCGAGTAAACGAAATTCTCTTCCTCGTCTACAAGGGAAAAAGTAGGCTTACAAAATGAATCACAGAAAACCTCGAATTAGAAAAAAATGTGGCCCTCTTCAACCAGAAGAACCACCACGGGCTGTATGATTGAGTTCTCTGATCCGCCTCTTAATTTTTCCCCCACTAGGAACTATAGGAACCGAAAAAATGGGTGCGTATGCAAAAAAATGCTAGAAATGTGTTAAAAGTGGAAGAACAACCGCGTAAAAACTGAATAATTCTGAAGGGATTTGTTCCCTTCCCCGATCAAAAGATAGCTGGCTGTGGCCCCATATTGAGAATGGTCAAAAATAATTCATTTTTACATATTTCGATAACTTAGAGAATAACCACCAAAACAATGAAATAAAAACTGATTACAAACAACTCCGACAAGCGGTCTATCGAAGACAAGGATTGGATATAACAGAAATACCTCAACCAAAAAATCCTTTGAATCTCGGTCAAGGTAAAACTTCTTTACCTAAACTTGCCGGCCTGATTCTTTTGCAACCAGCTACAATACATCTGCAGATGAATGGCGCCGCCGTAAAATAATATATATCTTTGCTGTCATCATTGGGGGCAGCCGCCAAACGTACATGGGGAGGACAGGGATAAGAGCACACCGTTCTCGGGCCCAACATTCAGAGAGGTCTCGAACGTATGTTTGACTGTATCTACCTTCTCAAGAGAAATGCCTACCGGCAAAAAGAAGTCTGGTAGCAGCTGGGCTGGAGCATTTATGGTAAGCCTCTTCAAGCTCGATGGTGGACGACCGCATATCCAAAGGTGGTGAAGGCGGTGCACGGGCACACGTCCGCTTGCCGAAAGATTGTCTCAAAAACTACATCCACAGCGGGACCCTAAGCGAGGAAAAGTTGGCTGTCTCGCGCCATCAGTGGAGCGTCTTCTCTTGTCCTTCCTCCGCAACTACCCCGTCGCTGAAGGAGCCTAAGCCTGGTGTCAGAGTACGCGATCCGTCGCAGGTTGCGCTGATGCGCGATTCACGCGACGGTCACGGAAATCACAAGTGCCCGATCAATACTGCAAGGTGTTCTCCAATCCTGCCGCCACTTCTGCTTGATAGTGATGGCTGAATGACGACTGCTCATGATTCCACTTGTTTCATATTCAGTGTTTCAAATGTTCACACACTTGCAATTTTTGCGATCCGTCGCGTGAATCGCGCAAATCGCCAAATCGCGCAAATCGCGAAAATCAGCGAAACCTGCGACGATCGCGGACTCTGACACCAGCCTAAGTCCGACGTCCTGATCAGTGGTGGACTGGGAGCAATGCAACGTGTGCAACGTTCAGCGTGGCGAAATGTTGGCGAAGCCGCTTTCTGCCCAAGCGAATACATCTCTCTCCCCCCGTTCCCACTTCTATCTCGTCAACTTCGACTCACTATTGTCATTAGTGACCTCTTGGAAACACCGATCACTATTCCTTGGGCAGAGAAAAGAAAAAAAGGGAAGAAGTTCCTCATATCCTCACTGTTTCGCTGCTCTGAAGTCCCATTTCCCGAAAATTTTCAAAACAAAGGCATAAAAGTTACCATCTAAAGTTGAAAATTTGGTGGTAAGACACACTCAATTCTGAAGCGTGGAAGAAAAATGGCGATGACGGCAGAAAACTAGAGTTCCTGTTGTCAAGAGCAAATTACTAGCGTTACTAATGCATGAAATACCACCCAGTGACTTGAGGCGTAGACTCATCCACGATGAATGAAAAAGAAATAAATCTCCGAACAACGACAACAGGCGCCGATCTAATGATGTAACGAGCTGCAGAGAGAAAGGGGGATCCGAGAGAGCAATGAAGACCTCGTGTGCAGAATATTCGCCGACCAGGTGGTTTCTTTCTGGCGGAAAAATGAAGACTACATGGTTGAATAACTTCAAAGGTAAGCACACAATAGATGCAGGACGCCCAAAGGTACGGGGCGACCACAGAATCATTGTTTCGTTGTGGGACCAACGAAAGAAGTATGAAAAGCATTCAGAGAACGAGCAATTAGGGAAGATAATTGGATGACTGATAGGATCTCTCCAACCGTTCCCACGCTCACAATGCTCAGAGTAATTGGATGTGTCGCCGTAGCACCGGCCTGGCGCTCGCTACAAAAAGGATTGTGCGAAATGAGATCGGAAGACTATGCAAAACCGACCAAGAAACGGCGAGCGTCACATGAATGTCCAAGGTTTATGGCTTAAGACCACAAACTGGGTCAATGACCACAAAATGTGTTCAAAAAATGCGCCAAGGAATCCCGAGCAAATAACAACTAGGTTATCGATTTTGCCTTTTGTTCTGCGAATATAACAAATCAAAAGGAAACTTTAAAAACACCATAATAATTCACACCAACTTGGCTACTCCGCTGCTTCGTTTATCAATAAACTTAAACTTTAGTAAGCCTGGTAACAGACATACATTTTTCGTAATTGAGCCCACAAAAAAGTATTTTCCCCAATCTTCAAAGCAAATTCGTCTCAGAAAAAGCATAAGTAGTAAGTAAAATCTTCAAGGAAAGATTTCAGAAAAAAAAAGGTTGTGATAGACTAGCTCCGATCAATAGAACTAATTATCAACATCTACTATGTGTTATTATTCGGTATTACTTCAGTAATTTTGCAGAGCTATATTATTTAAAAACTAATATTACTGCCAGTTTCCCAATTCAACTAATTGACACAACAATCTGTCAATCAATTAATCTTTCATATCATCAATGAGGGTCGGATCATTTTGCAGTCGAGTGAAGAAGGAAGATACGTATTGATCATGCGATCACACGATCGATACGTACCTATCTCACACTCGGATTGTAAACCGAACTGCATGTATTATCCCAGCCTTAGTCACATTTACAATACTTCGATGATGCTTCTGACAGATGGGACGACAATTTTAGACGTGAGTTAATTAACAACTAATTAAGCCCAGCGTGTTGTCCTTCAAATTTGGAACAAAAAATGGATCGGAAACATCTTTTAGGAATTGATGCACGGAACCTTCGCTTACAGACCAGCTTATAAAAGTGGCTTACACCATGCTAAAGTGTAAGTCAAAACATATGAAATTTATGCCATGTTAGCCATTGATTTCCTCTGGAAGATCCACCTCGAGCAAATTTGATATTGCTTGAAAAAAAAAAACAGATTTCTTTCAGAACAAACAAAAGAGTCGGGACTACAGTTGCTCTCATACTTGTTTGGCTTCCTAGCCGGATTCAGTCAGAATAAGGATAAAGCTGGAGGGAAAAAACTCGCCGTAAAACTTCTTTTCAAAGCTGTAGCGGCAAGTGAATAGTATAAACAACTGCATAACACATTACGTCATCGTTTCAGTGTAAAGTAAACAAAACAGAAACAGAAAAATATGGAAAAGCATGAATAAAGGCGAACCAAAAACCCGAAAACAGCATAATGGGGCTGTCGGCAAGGGAGACTGGTTCGGACGGTGAATGCAATTTCCGATAAGGGGCGGTCAGCCAGAGCATCGAGTGGCAATCTCGTCGCCTCAGTCCTGACGCGCAATTCATCGATTTCGCTCTGGGACTCTATTATTATCGCTTCCGATGAAGTACAGTTCGTAGCTAACGATTCGGAAGAATCCACGATTCGGGGATTTGGCGATTAGGCGATTCTGCTGAAAGGAAGTCACAATATGGCGTAATCCGAGAGTTCCCACACATCGAATGAACAAATCAGTCCGTAGTACACGCGGCGATGACCTCATAAGAAATCGACATCACCCGTATTTTGAAGCGTTCTGGATGCTGACACTACGCGACGCACGACATAAGGTCTGGCAACTATGGGCCATGCACAGGCCACGGGGAAACAAGCTGTCAGCTGGCTATGCGATGAGAGGGAGCAACACTAAGAAGTTCCAAGGTTTGTTGCTAGGTATTCTAGCGGTGCAGTTCAATTTGAACCAAAATGAATGAGTTATAGGCAAGTAATCTAATACAACAGCTGTTGCCGTCCCCTCAGTTTTGAATAATCTGGTACTACTCAGAAAGGAGGGCGGAAGTGGTGTAGTGACAAGTGGCGCGCTTACCACGCGAGCGGTCCGGGGATCAAATCCTGGGTCGTGAGTCGCCCGGGCCAACCAAGCCTTCCATCCCTCCGGGGTCGGTTAATTGGTACCAGACTTGTCTGGGAGGATAAAAACACTGACTTGTACATCGGCTGGCCCCCGCAAGTCATTGTATAGGCCACATCGCATTCAAACGCCACTACGAATGTACAAATGGAAGTAGAATGCGTGCCGCATCCCAAAAGGGATTGATCAACGGCAAATGCTTTATCCTTTTCCTTTTTCGAAAAGGAGTAATAGGCAGGGTGTGGATTGAGGGGTTGATTAATAATGTCAAAAGACACACATTTATGCTGGTTTCGCTGCTTCGGACCGAGCCATGTTAAAGGCGGAATTACTATTGAAAGAGAGCCCATTAGAGATAAGGTAGAGGTGGTCACAGGTGCTGGGATGAAGAAAAAAGCATGATGAGAAACATGGCTCAGAACCCTAGAAATGAAACGCCTTCCTAGCCCGTTGATTCCCGCACTGATGCGCTTTTTATAGATGCTCTCCTCATCTACTCTAACTCTTTCTTTCTCTTTCTCTCTCTCTCTCTCTCTCTTCGGACAACCTGGTTAGAAAGCCTGCGGAGCTGTTGCTCAGCCAGTACACTAGGGCGTACCGCGCGATAGCGTGCGCGGGAGGACCATGTTAGATCGCATGGGGAATATCCTTCGCTGCAATCGTTCCAAACCCTCAGAAAATCTGGCTGTCTTTCTGCTAGAAAGGTTTCCCCTTCTTCAACCTTCGACATTACCGTGAATTCCTCCCCTTAAAAGAGACTCGTTAAATTTCAGAAAACAATGCGATTCCCGTATTGGCACGATTAACAAATGTGGTGCATCTTGCCTCGCTTCAATAGTGTACAAACCGATTTTTTTCTCCACGGAGTACAAAATGGTTTTTTCCTCGCAACGGCGCTCGCACTTTCTGTAGATTGGGTAAACAGAACTTTTGGCGTACGTGAAGCGAGAAGTGAATTTTTTTCAGAATACGAGAATCCTAAAGAGTGGGGCAATATTTACGCTTACCTTCGGGAGGGCGTAACCTCCTAACAAGATCGTCGTTTTTAGATACTTGAACATTTTCAAGCAGTGAACACCTTGTAGTTCATTTGCAGTTCGAGAGTGAAATGGACACGGATCGATCAATAGCGCAACCGCTAACATCGCGGCGCATGTGGTACGCGTTGCGGTGCCATTCAGTCATTCTTGTTTCCCTTGTTCCTTTTCGATTTTCACATCTCAGCAGCCCATTAGAATTAAAGTAGAGGTAGTCAGTGTGGCGGGATGAAGAAAAACTATGAGCAACGACCCAGAACCCGAGAAACGGGACCTTTGTTAACCGGGCCAAAATTAGACGGCGAAGGGATGGGCGGGCAGCGTCGATAGCGGCGCGTGGAAAGCCATGCTAAATCGCTAAGGGCATATCCTTCATGCGAATTGTGTGTCGATCCACATCCTTAGGGGTCCGCCTGTCTTTCCACTACGTAAGTCCCTAACGTGAAATCCTTCAAGTTCTTCTTTTACAATTCTCGCTCGGTTGTACCTCTATCTCGTAGTTTCTTTCTGTTGATGAGTAGTCTGCATTTCGTGTGGTTTTACCCGAGAAAAGGCGTTGGGCACATAGGTGCTCGAATACTGGACCTCGTGGACGGAGTAATCTGGGCCGGTTCCTTGCCTTATGCGTCGTGGCACGTGGTACGGAAAACAGTACGTCTCCGGAAGATTTTGACAACGCATGCCAGCGGCGCATACCAGCGTTTTGACCAGGGTCAACCGTCCATTCGCATCTTTGAACGACACGGTCGCCAGTTGCGATTTTGGGAAAGGGCTGGAGTCGCACTTTGGGGTTGGGCAAGATTAACTACCTGTAGGAAAAGTGTGAATGGGGTTGTAAAGGAGGGTTGTATAGGACGGGTTTT